TGCCAGCCGGTTCCCCCCCGGCCAGCCTCCTTCCCCCTGACCAGCCCCACCCCCCATCTGAGATCAAGTGTGTTCGGTATTTTTTTGAAATCATCTGGTAACCCTATATAAGAAAGTTAAATTTGCTTTTGTCAGTACTGAATTTTCTCTGTCATGCCGTTTTGTTTAGCTGCCTCTGAAGTTACTCACAGGTTTCTCTGTTGATTCACCTCAGAAATGTATCCTCTTCCTTCCCCCTGACCAGCCCCACCCCCCATCTGAGATCAAGTGTGTTCGGTATTTTTTTGAAATCATCTGGTAACCCTATATAAGAAAGTTAAATTTGCTTTTGTCAGTACTGAATTTTCTCTGTCATGCCGTTTTGTTTAGCTGCCTCTGAAGTTACTCACAGGTTTCTCTGTTGATTCACCTCAGAAATGTATCCTCTGCATTTTTTGTCACCTCACTGTGGATCTCTGACTTTTCTTTAAGGACACGTCATGAAGGTTTTGTGTTTTGTTTTCAAGTGCTGGATAGCATCTACCATGTCATGCGCATGATGAGCAACTATCAAACAGCAGTAGTCTTGAGGCACCCTATAGTTAGCCTCGTGTGATAGCAAAAATAAACCATTTGTTTCTGATCTGTTTTCTTCCTATTAGTACTTAATCCATGACAGTACTTTGTCTCTCAGCACAGGACTACTAATAGCTTTTTGGGAGGGACTTTGGGGAAGGTTTTTTGAAAGTTCAAATTAATCCTATAAACCGGGGGCAAGACAGCCTCTGCTGGCCAGATCTGGCCCACCAAGCTGGTGGATTGAGCCCACAGTCACCCTGCTGCTCCCCAGGCCAATCAGGCCCTGATTGGCCTGGGGGTTGGGGGAACACGTGAAGTCTCCTTGCCCAGTCAGTGGTTCTCCTCCAGCCACTGAGCGCCCCTAGCAGAGATGGGGCAGGGGGCAAGAGACTTTGCATGTTTCCCCCACCCCCAGGCTAATCAGGGCCTGATTGGGCCAGGGGTAGGAGGCATGCCTGAAGTCTCCTGCTGCTGTGGTACCTAGAGGGAAGCACCAGCTGTTTTAAAACAGTTGGCGATTCTCTCTAGGCACCAAGGGCAAGACTTCACATACTCCCCCACCCCTGAACCTATCAGGATCTGTGGGCAGAGAAGCATGAGAAATCTCCTGGCCCTTCCCCTTCCGCCCAAGGCTCTGCAACTTCCAGAAATTTATGAAGTGGCCCCTTTATAAATGTATTGCCCACCCCTGCTATAAACCATGATTAAGTGTCTACAGTCCTAAAATCATTGACTGGTTATGCAGGTCTAGTCACTTAGAAAATGGTCTAATTTTATTTTTGGAGTAGTGTGCGGGAAGAAGCAAATCCCAGGAGTTCTGATGGGTTGCCCAGACTTGCATGAGTAGAAACCTTTGCTGGGTCATGGAGTCTTTTTGTAATGTTTGTAAGGCTCCTAGTAGATGGGAATAATTCAGGGCTGGGCAAAATACAGCCTGGGGGCTGGATCCAGCCTGCCAAGCCACCAGATCTAGCCCGCGGCCCACCCTGCCAGGACCCCCCGGCACATGCAGCTGCCGTGATTTGAAACAGCCGCTGTGGGGCTGTGCTCTGCAGAGAGGGGAAAGCTGCATGCGATCTTCCCACCCTCAGCCCAATTCTCAGGTCCGACTGGCCAGAAATAACTGGCCAATAAGAACTGACCTCAGCCAGACGCTCAGCTCCTATTAACAGCCAGCCAATCGGAGCTGAGTCACCTGAGAGACTAGGGCAGCACCACCTTTGAGAGAGACTGTGGACAAAGGGAGCAGCCTGTATTTTCAAGCAGGCTGGAGGTGCAACAGCCTGCTGGCCAGGAGACACTTAAACTCCTTTCAGCCAACGCCTGTCTCTGGCACCCCAACCCCTCCTGCACCCCAACTCCCTCCCCCAGGTCACCATCCAAACCCTCTGCACCAGATAACTCCCTCCCAGACCCTGTACCCCCTCCTACACCCTTCCCCCAGGCCAGAATCCTCTCCTGCACCCAAACGCCCTCCCAGGCCCTGCACCCGACCCAGATCACAATCTTCTTCTCCACCCAAACACCCTTTCAGACCCCACACTGTCTCCTGCACCCTAGTCCCTTACCCCATGCACCCTTCTGCACCCAACCTAAACCCTGTAGCCCCTCCACAGAAAAATGCAGCCCATGACCACTTACTTACCAAAAACTTGGAGTGCCCCCCCCCAAAAAATATTGCCCATCCATGGCATAGTTACACTGCAAAAGGGGAAAAATGGGGGTGGGAAAATGTTCTTAAATTGAGTTAAAATAGCAGTGAAGACACTGAAACACAGTAGCTCATATTCAACCCTAGGTTCCCTTTTAGGTTTTAACCGCTAATGTGTAAAAAAAAAAACCCTCAATTGCCATGACTTCACTGCTATTATAATCCATGTTAGCTAACCTAAGTTAAGTGCACCTTTTTTTTTCCAGCATAGATACAGTACAGTACAGTAGGGCTCTAATCCCTGACTAGTACTGTATGAACTACTGCAATATAAATAAATAAAGCTCCCTTAGTCGTGCCATAAATCTTCATTTATTTGAAGTGGCTTTGCCAAACAGCTTGGCTACGTCTACACTGGTGTGATCTTGCGCAAAAACTCTTTAGCGCAGGAGTTCTTGCATTAAAGTAGTTGCGCAAGAGAGCGTCTACACTGGCATGTGCTTTTGCGCAAGAGTATCCTTGCCAGTGTAGATGCTCTCTTACACAAGAAAGCTCCAATAGCCATTTTAATCATAGGGCTTTCTTGCACAAGAAATTCATGTTGCCTGTCTATACTGGCCTCTTGTGCAAGAACAGTTGTGCAAAAGGGCTTATTCCTGAGCAGGAGCGTCAGAGTTCTGGTGCAAGAAGCCCTGATTTCATACATTAGAGTGTCAGTTTACTTGCACAAGAACACGTGGCCAGTGTAGACAGGTGACCAGTGTAGACAGGCAGCAAGTTTTAGCGCAAGATCGTGCCAGTGTAGACACAGACCATGTGAGTGCATCATTTCAGGTTTGGACTGTAAAAAGAGACTTTCCTTTCCTCTCCTACCAAATCCCTAGTTCATTGTTAATTGCCGGATGTCAAAACACATTTTGCAATACGGTAAAACTCCATCAGTCCGGCATCCAATGCTCTGGGACTCCTGATGGTCCGGCACCATCAGGAACCCGGAAGTGCTGGGGCAACCGGACAGGCTTCCCCCATTCAGCTGCTGCTGAAACTGACCAGCAGCTGAATCGGGAAAGCCGGGAGCAGAGCAGCTGGGGTGCTGCCGGGTTGGTCTCGTAGCGCTGCCCCTCGGGGCTGCGGAACCAACCCGGCAGCACCCCAGCTGTCCCGGATTCAGCCGCTGCTGAAATTGACCAGCGGCTGACTCCAGGAAGCCCGAGACAGCTGCTCTGCCCCAGCTTCCTGGAATCAGTCGCTGGTCAGTTTCAGCAGCAGCTGACTTGGGTACACCTGGGACAGAGCAGCTGGGGTGCTGCTGGGTTGGTCCAGTAGCGGAAAACAAGGATACAGCTTTAAGTAAGACTTCAATTTTTTGCCTTGTTTTCAGAGAGAGAAAATAAAAACTTTCCACTACTTGGCAGCCTTTCCTATACCAAACATTTATAAGCTTCCAAATGTTTTTAACATAGCTGACAAGAACAGCGTACCCAATATGACCAGTCTCAGATATGGCTAGTGAGCCCTGAGAGATGGCAACTATCTCTGCAAAAGTACACACACCTGTACTGTTTTCTGTCAAACAGTGGGAAGAAAGTGCAGTAAACTTCCGATAATCCGGCACCTTTAGGACCCAGGGGGTGCTGGATTATCAGATACGCTGGACTAGCGGCTGAATCGGGGATGCCTGGGGCAGAGCCGGACTATCATAAGGGGGGGCTATGAGGGGTCTGGGGTGGCATCCCCTCCCACCCCACTCCAGACCCCTCATAGCTCCCCCTTCTGATAGTCCGGCATATCTGATAATCCAGCACCCCCTGGGTCCTAAAGGTGCCGGATTATCGGAAGTTTACTGCACTTTCTTCCCACTGTTTGACAGAAAACAGTACAGGTGTGTGTACTTTTGCAGAGATAGTTGCCATCTCTCAGGGCTCACTAGCCATATCTGAGACTGGTCATATTGGGTACGCTGTTCTTGTCAGCTATGTTAAAAACATTTGGAAGCTTATAAATGTTTGGTATAGGAAAGGCTGCCAAGTAGTGGAAAGTTTTTATTTTCTCTCTCTGAAAACAAGGCAAAAAATTGAAGTCTTACTTAAAGCTGTATCCTTGTTTTCAATTTAAGGTGCCACATTGTGTGTCATATGCCAAGACAGAAGCTCTCTACGTCAAACAATAGTCCGTTTGGAGCTGGAAGATGAATGGCAGTTTCGTCTCCGAGATGAGTTTCAAACTGCCAACAGCATTGATGACAAACCACTGTATTTCCTCACTGGACGCCACATATAAAGTTGCTAGAAGACCAAATAAGAAGGGAAGAGAACTTACAAGAATTTTTTTTTGGTTTGGCCGGGAGGGGAGGGGGGGAATAGAAGAAAAAACCAAAGTACAATCACTGTGGAGCAAAGTGCAACCAATATTGATCTAGTCTACTCTAAAGGATTCACCAAAATTCTAAAGTAGGCTTCATCTTTAGGCATATGTTTATCACTTCAGTTACAATTACAGGAGCTTGGATTCAAGTTAATTCTACATTAGTCATAGTTAATGAAACTAACAACACAGCCTACCAGCTGTGATGTGGAAGGAGGACATATTTTGATTGATGAAGAGTTCTCTTGATTTTTTTTTTTTTTTTGTACTATGCTAAGCTAGGGAAGAAACTGACTTCAGCATCCACTAGCCTGAATGTGTAACACCAGACTCACACCATTGAATAATATGCTGAGGAGACTCCTCCGTTTCTCTTCAGATCTGTACTTTGGTACAGTAATACTCAGGGGTTTGAAATAACAAAATAACTTTAGATATTTGTATTAAAAAGAGTAGTCTTGTTCTCTCTGTGCAGTGTTACTTTAAAACTTGTAATTGTGTATGTATTGAAACTGTATCTTTCGCAAAATTTCCACAGGAGTTAAAAGTTTACTACTAAAACCTGAACAAATCAGTAAATGCATTGCAGGCATCGAGCACACACGCAGGTTCTCCTAGTAACTTCATTTCACCCTTTTTAACAAAAATTCTGCTCTACAATTAGAGTAACTGGCTGGCCAGCATAATGAAGAGAAAAAAGATTTCATATGCACATTACTCTGAGATAGTTAAACACCAGCAAAATGACTTCAGATTATTATAGCATTAAATTTTGAAACATCACCATCTTGCTGGTACAATTTCTTGTACATCAAAAACAATGCAATTTTGCGCTGAGTAGCTTTCCCTCATTCACCTGCAAATGTGTGTAGAGCCCTGAGGTGAGACTTTTAATGTTGCTGCTTCTTTTGAGATCTTATGTACCCCATCCAGAAGTGAATCATAAATAGTAAGACAATGTTCGAGAGTAGCAGCAGATATGAACTGAATTTGGTATCTAGAGAGCAAAAATAGGGCAAAGCATAATGATTTGGAACTTTTCCGTAGCCCACTGAAAATCACTTCACAAGTGAGCTGGGATGAATCCAAAGAGAATCTGCCCATCATCAAAAGTCTGCTTGAATACAGTACCCACAAGTTGGTCCTTTCATATTGAATGTTAAACTTTTGTAAATACTGGCTATAGTGATCATACATTATTCTGGTTTAAAAACACATTACTGTGGTCTCTTAAAATAATTGCTCTTCTGTTGGTCTAGAATTAACCTTGTGCATTAGCACTTGGTTTCAGGGTTATAGGTATATTCACCTAGTGCAGTTAATATTTTTAGAAGTATTCACTGTTTTATAGTGGTTACTCAATTGAGATTTCCATATCTTATATAAAAATACCCTTTCCTCCACCCACTTTCCTCTTTCCAACTCCTTAATTAAAAAAAAAAGCAGCCTCCTCTGTAAGATGGTAAAAATCAATAATAACCACTGCTTTTATGTTTTTATGAAGTTAACGCCACACCCCTTTGTATGTGACCTGCAAATCAACTGAGAAGGAAGGGCCTGCCAAAACTGCATTCTGAACAAAGTGTTAATCAAGCAACTTTCTTATCTTGTGAAAAGATGAATGTTTACAGCGAATGAAAAACATAATATATTAGACTGAAGCTAAAAAGGAAAATAATGGTTTGCATATCTGTTAATTTTAATGTAGCTTAATAGTGAGGCTGCCAATGTAGCATATTTCAAATGAACAACCCTTTTTTCTTTAGATTTAAGTATTTGAATTGTCCTTCATACAGGACTAGCCTTATGTTTTAAAATATATCTTCATTTTAAATTTAGCAGACGTAGGGATCCAGAGATGTATTTTGAAGCTTTTAGTTACACCAGAATCCTTTTTAGTACATCTGTTTTGCTAGAAGGGCTTAAGGCTGATGGAATTTTGAGTTTTAGTCTGTGGTAAAAATTTTAGAAATATTACCTGTGTTCTGCAAGTCAGAGAATATAAAATGTTCAAAAGTGGTTTCCTTTGTTTGTGTACTTGATGTTTGCACTAAGTTCTTAAAATTCCAGGTGCTGAGACTATTTTGATGATTATTTAGCCCTGTGGTAAAGTGGTGCAAAATTGTCCTGATGGTTGAGAATTAAATCAGAAAGCTAGTGTATCTGCCTTCCATTATCAAAGCTATTGGTTTCTGTAACTTTTATTCTCCAGTGGAGAACACTTTCTTTGAAGACACTATCACTATAAATCTTTACTTAAAGAAACCAGAGTCGGTATGCTTGAAAACAACAGCTCATAGGCCTTTGAATACATGAGAAGGAGACAATACTTTGACAGCTAGAGTACAACTGTTCTGTTTTTGGTTTTAAACCTCATCGAGATCACTCTTATGAATGTATTAACTAGGCCAGCATTGTATTTTACCTGTTGAAATATAAAATCTGGACAAGATTGAGGTTAATACTGAATGTAAACTAAAATTTGAATGAAAATCCTATTCAGATACATCTTGCTGTAATTTATGCAATTGCTTTTTGTGACTTTTGGAAGGGGGTTAAAATGTTGCCTTCTTAGTGAAAAATTCTTAACCAAAACGTGGTGAATTTAGCTTCACTAGTCAGTCTACCTCACATTTTATTGTTTATTAATTGAAATTGTCTGCAGTTGTGGTTACAATATGTTTATGATGTGCTTTCATTAAATTTGATGAACATTAAATTGCCATTTAACACTATTTTCTTTATTCATTGCATAATAATGGGCATTTAATTTTGATTACAAGATATCAGTGTTAAACTACCTTTAAAATATCCCACATTTATTCACTAGCGAGCAATTGTGCAGTTAATTTTCAGTATCTGAGCAAAGCACTCACTTCCAAAAATGCCACAATCTCACAATTGGAAGTGACTGTGGTGAATAGTGCTAAAACTGGTGGGATACATTGGCTTTCAGTCAGGTAAGTAATTTGTTGCACAGTATCTATTTTAGATGTTCAGGAAAGGTAACTTGAGTACAGAGGATTAGAAGTTAGCTTTGTGCTGGGATATGAGGTGTTTCAAAAGGCTCTGGCTATTCCTTCTGATGGGGATAACAGTTTAGTACCCAGACAGGAATTCTTTGCTTGGTACAGACAACTGCTAGGTACAGTTCCATTGATTTACTTTCAGTTGTTAAAAAAAAAAAAAAAAGTCACTGCAGTTAAAATTGTAAACTAATTTATTCAGGAGTTTCAAGCTAGTCCTCAGGCGGACATTGTTCTACGTAATACACTAGAAATTTGGTAATTTGTTGCTGTCATTACTGCCACCTAGAAGTGTTGCACGATGAATAGGTGGGACAAGTTGCTGAATTTATACTTGCTCTCAAGTTAGTTTTACACACTCTCATTCCTTCAGCAAGAAAGCCCTGTTAGGTTTAAGCTGTTCCAAGAATACACCACGGCTACGTCTACACTGGCATGATTTTCCGGAAATGCTTTTAACGGAAAAGTTTTCTGTTAAGCATTTTCAGAAAAGCGCGTCTAGATTGGCCACAGACACTTTTCCGGAAAAGCGTCCGTGGCCAATCTAGACGCGCTTTTCCGCAAAAAAGCCCCAATTGTCATTTTCGTGATCGGGGCTTTCTTGCGGAAAACACTACTGTGCTGTCTACACTGGCCCTTTTCCGGAACAGTTTTCCGGAAAAAGACTTTTGCCCGAATGGCAGCAGCATAGTTTTTCCGGAAAAGCACTGATGATTTTACATTAGAGCATCAGTGCTTTTCCGGAAATTCAAGCAGCCAGTGTAGACAGCTGGCAAGTTTTTCCGGAAAAGCAGAACCTGTAACAGGTTCTCCACGTGCTGAGATGAGGATAATTTTCCATCTTCTTTCTAGCACTCTCAAGTTCTCACCACTGATTCCAGTCTGACAGGATAGGGAGCATACCTGAGTCCCAAAATAGGAGGGGAAAAAAGACCACAGCATTGATCTCTTGGGCTGACCCAAAAGGCAGACTAGCTTAGCCAGTACAATGTCAGCAGAGAGACTTCGCCATGATCTTGCAGATATTCATTCCTTTGTCAATGCATTTCCCATCACAAGAATGCAAAGCAGTCAAAATATTTCACACCAGAGAAGCAGATCACAAGTCTATTGGCACAAATGCTACAAGTCCTACTATACATGTTGCCAACCCTTTCCTTTTACAGGAAATGATCCAAAAGATCTGGAGAAGTAGTAAAATAATTGATAGTGTTAACTCTGCACTGGCCAACAAGTTCTTGGCTCCCTTAAATGACAGAACTATAGCTGGAACTACTTTTGCAAATACTGGTGAGGTCCCCTCTGCTATCCAGGTTCCCCAGAGAAGTCAGACTGGCTAGATCAGTGGTCAACCTATCTTCCCTAAAATGGGATCTGTTACTTGTGTTCAAAGCCCTAAGCATTAATCCTTTAGAAAACTCTGTATCACTATTCTATGCTCCATTAAAACCCATTTTCCAGTGCCCATAACATCTGCCCAATGAGTTTTGGAACAGTCAGACTTCTCTATGTAGGAACCTTACTCTGTTTTGATCAAGCTTACAGGACCCATGTGGAAGTCAGGTGTCCTCCTTGTTTTCTTCCATCAGAAGTACCAGAGACTCAGACTCCAAGGTCTCTTGCTATATAGATCAGACTATGGTTGAAAAGACATTTCTGTCCCAGAAGGAATCAAGATCCACATCACAAGATCTATGGGGTCTTTCTGGGTCAAAGTAGTATGCATTTCCACTAGAATGTCCGATATAGGTGTTAGCCAATTATGTTGCCCCTTTGCAGATTTCTATAGTGGATTTTGTCTTCCACAGAAAGTTGCTGTATGTGGCAATTCAGTAATAAGCTTGCCTTTTGTGTAATCCTGTTCCTTTTACTCCTATTTCTTCTCCTATCCCTTCCTGCTCTTCATGTGTAGCAAAATTGTAGCAAACTACAAAACAGAAAATTTCTGATAATTTTTGGTTTTATAGATGTTAAAACTTAGTTTCCATTGACCCAAAACTGATTTTTTTTGGCCCATAAAACTATTCAGCAAGATTCTAATCAAGGATTTTGACCTGGGATGTTAATCCAACTGTTTGAACATTCACATGAAGCAAGAACAAACACCAAAGATGACGTCTTAACTCTGATAGCATCACTTGGGGGGGGGGGGGGGGGGGGAGGCTGAAGGGAAGCTATCAAAAACTTTATTTTTTAATCTACATTATGTACAGATGGAAAAAGGCCACAGCAGTTTTTCGCCTTATAAACCCTTTAAAGTGGAGGGCTTTATAGAGGAGGTACAAAGTGAAGTCCACTAATAAAGGCATATACCCAGTTCAGCATTTTTGAAGAATGGTGCAGCATACACCTGTTTTGTTTTTCAAATTCATCTTTCACAAACTAGTGCTAAATATTCCTTTTGCATAATGCATAACTTCTTTATTCATATCAATGAAAAATTAAAGTTAATTTAATCTGTTACCTTATATTAATGCATAGTAGAACCATCTAATCTGTCAAGTCTATTGCTTATAAATACTTAAATTCTAATTGAGCACAGTTTTAAATTTTGATAAATGATCTTTTAAATACCTTACTAAACATCTAGAACTGGTAAAATACTAAAGCTTGCAGTGCCAAGCAACACTGGTATATTACCACATTAAGAACTTCAGTATGTACTCAGTGAGATCATAGTTCTTGCATTAGTTTACAGTCCACTATGAACAATATCTGCTGCATGTAAAACATGACTATAGATAAAAATACATCATAAACTTCTGTAAAAGATAGCAAAATATCTTCTTTAAAAAACAAAGTTAGCCTATTACTGCACAATTTACATTTTTTTTAATAAAATAGTACAACCTTTTAGTTGTTACCAGTCCTGAGTTTGTTGTAATAAAAAAATGGCTCCTGTTCAGGTCTGCACTCAAACAGTATTTGTTAGCAGAAGTCTCCCAGTACCTTTTGCTGAAGAAATTGCACTAAGTATGATACTGTCCATTGACAAAGTTATATACCAGGAACTGGCTAGTGCCACAGTACTGAGTTGCAAAGAGTTTTCCATCAGGAGTGGGGTCAGAGAAAGCAATTTCTTCTTTCCTTAAGTATGAGCCATAGATAAAATTACTCCTGTTTAAAAAAGAAAATTGGTTATTTTCCATTAAGTGATAATGTGAAAGTATATTTTTGTATTTTGACCATTACCTTTCTTCAATTATTTTTCAGGTCACCTGATCCTTATACTGGGTCTTTAGCCTCCATGGAACCCTGTCTGAAATGGGCTCTCTTTCTCTGAACTGTCACCCACAGCAACTTCCCTAATATATTTTAAAAGTGTATTTGGGGCACTTCAAACAGAATTCATACTTTATGGCGTATGCAATATATGCATGTGTACTACAGTATAATTCTGTATTTTATAGCGGAAATTAGGGATGTAAAGGACTAGTTGACTATGCTTATCATAGTTGACTATCCTGTCAGCTAGCCCTGCCCCGCCCCCACTTGCTGCCTCTATCAGATAAAGACAGCAAGGGAGCAGAGGGAGTACTTAAAAGCAGCATCAGGTTCCTTGCAGCATTTCAAAGCAGCAGTGCCAGGTGGAACAAAAAGATAGTGTTTCATTTCTGAATAAAAACTGAGCCTGTGTCAAACATTACTAACTACAGAGTCCTAGCATTGTCTTCTGAACCAGAACAGCTATCAGAAAAACAACTAAATCTTTACATGTAAGTCAGCAAGTGCTTAAGTAGGTGTATGATAGGGATATCAGCGTCTAACTGTTTAGGTTAAGCCTAATGCCTACATGCAACCCTCCCTGCCTTGCTGCCTCTGTATCAGCAGAAGCAGCGCAGAGGGACAGGCAGGAGATGGTGCTTGGGGGAAGCTGGCTTAAAAGCACCAGCTCCCACAGAGCCACCTCCCCTCCAGTGCACTGCTGCGTCTGATAGAGAAGCAGCAGCAGCGTTATCTGGACAGGCTCTATCAATAATCATATTTCAACCAAATAGAATTGTGGCAGGGTGAAAACAGAGCGCACACACGCAAGCATGTGTATGTAAAAAACAGTCTTGTGTAGGAATGTAAGCGACTAGTCGACTATCCAATAAGCATGAGCTAGTCCCTCGAGTAGTTGCCTCTTCCGCCCCCCCCCCCCAAATCTCTGCTACCTTAAAAGCCATCACCTTCTCCATGAGGGGCAGGAGAGGAAGAGGAGCAGCAGGGACTGGGTGCAAGCCAGGAATCAGCAGATTCCTGGCTTATGCCCAGTCTCAGACAATGCGCCTCTGCTTTTTAAATGTATTAAGAGCCTGCCAGCTCTAACCCCACTGCAACTCTCCCACTTATCAACTAATCGATGGAAATTCCATCAACTAGTCGATTAGTTGATTTAACTAAATTTAACATCCCTAGCTTTATGAATACCCAATATATACTGGTATCAAGAGAATTTTATTCTGAAGAAAGGCTAGCAGTCACTTTCTCACTACTGCACTTAAGACCGTATTTCTAGCTAGAAATCTGGGGAAGCTCCCCAGATCTTACAGATTTTCATCTTACTCTTATGGAACACATGTCTGCTAAGGAGGAGTCTGCTGAAGCTAGAAAGACGAGTGAAACAACTAACCAATGCCTACTGAAGATACCTCCATTATTCTGGATCAGGATCTTGTCAGCTGACAGAAGGGCTCTTTCCAGCAGGACAATGGTCTTTAATGAAGGAGCATTTTGATGTAATGAGCTGTTACGTAAAGTGAGGAAAATTCCTACTTGGACTTGGGTGAAAATAATTTACAGATTTTTTGCTGCTTTTGTTTCTGGCATCTTCTTCATTTTGATTATCACAGGTCACCCAACAGGGAGTATGGTCTCAAGCAATTCTAAACTATTTTTAGTCTTTCCATGACTCAGAAATAATTGTTGTTTTTAAAAGGTTGTCTCAGAGACCTCTGCACCTTTTTTTTTTTTTTTTTTTTTAAAGTTAAGTGGGGTGGGGATAATAAATTCAGAAACTGGGCCAAAAAAGAAGACCCCCTATGTTCAACAGAGTGCATCCCTAAAAACTAGTGTTTATGAAAATAAACCTTTCTTCCAATTGAAGGGAAGATTGCAACCATCAATGGGGACCCTGCTACAGAAAGCTGCAGGAACCCCATACAAGAAAAAGCTTATTCCTGGAAATGCTGGAGTAGTCACAGCAAAGAAGCATTATATTCCACAGTGATAATGTCAGGTTGATGTAAAAATGGCTGTACAGCTTAGCTCTCCACTCACCCTGGACCCAGTTAGGGACTTCTGCTTTCTCCCTGTCAGTGTGTTCTATCTGGGAGCAGGAAAGGTAAAGCCCCTTTTCAGTGAAGGTCTGGACAAAGAATTTCTGATTCTTTACTTTTTAGATCTGTCCGATGTTTACATCAGACAGAAGAGCCTATTGCAAAGGGCTTTGAACTCAAAGGATCTCTGAAAACAGAATTAAAGACTAATTATCAAATGTAGTTATTCACTTGAAGGTAGATTTCCAGCTTTAGAAAAAACTAATACAAAGGTTGATCTACAAAGACTGCAGGGCCTACTGTGGAGAGGAAACACCATGGAAACAAAAATCTACTGTAAGGCTCAATGGACTTGAATGATGCAAAACCCATCAGATTCAGACTAAAGAACACCACTTAAAGAGAGGTGTAGGCAGGTAAGAAGAATGCAGTAAGTAGCCATGTATTTTTGTGCCTATTCCTACTCCCCAATATCCAGAAGATGTAACTAATATATTAGGTGACATAATGCAGAATTTAGGGTTTAACAGCCATTTTTACAAGTCATTCAGGCACTCTTGAAGAGTCTGTCCTTGATCCATTTTGGACAACATCCTGACAGCTAGTTTGATTCTTTACAATTATAGTCAAACTACGTTTTTTTAGCCCTACGACATTAATGCAATCATTAAAAGTTCATGTAAAACTGAGCACAACTTTCAGTTTTAGGTTTATATCTACAAATTCACCGAAAAGATCTTAAACAAAGCCAAAGATTATATTAGACAAAAAGCCTCAATGCTAAGTCAAAGACTGCACCCCAAATTACTACCATTTTAAAAAAAAATTACCTAAGACACTCTATCATCCGAGAAGCTATTTTCTTCCGACGCATCATACTGAACACCCAGATTCGACTAATTCCACAGATAGCTGGCTCAGGAGATGTTGAGCAGCACCAGGCTTTTTGTCGTTCAAATATGATTTTCTCATTTTCTGAGCTAGCTTCTGGAATCTTCTCTTCTATAACTCTATAGCCCTGCAGATAATGTGAGATTTTAACAGCATGATTCATAACTCCATAATATGTTAGCAATGCTTGTACAAGCTAATCCAATCTCCTGTAAACAAACATGTCAGTTACATACATCTTATTTAATAAATGGACATTGCATGTTAATGTACAAATATGTTCTCTCATTACAGTCTCAATGCACTGTCAAACAGTGAAACTCATTGCCAGAGGATACTGTGAAAGCTGAAAATATAACTGGGTTCAAAAAAATTAGATAATTTCATGGAGGATTAGCCAAGGTGCCCAAGGACACAGCCTCTTCCTAAAGTCTCTCTAAGCTTACAACTGCCAGAAGCTGGGACTGGGTGACAGATCATTTTATAATAGTCCTGTTATATTAATTTCCTCTGATGTATCCGGCACCAACCACTGATAGAAGACAAGACACTGTCAGAAGAATCCTGACCACTGCTCTGAGGCAGTTTGGCCATTGTTACAGTCTCAACTTTTTAAGTTTCACTTCTGTCCCTTTAAATTTCAAAACAGTAGAAAATTCAAAAGTATTAGGGAAGATTTCATATATGGTGTTCTTTGGTTTACCTCTCCTGTTGAATGTGATAGTGAACAACATGCAGTTTAATTGCTACTTACTATTAAAAATTAACTAGTCAGCTTCCAGTAGTTTCAAAAGATGTTAAATATTGTCCATTATAAATGTCTTTAAAGCCAAGAAACAGAATTCCTAAAATTAACTTTATTTTTTAGAATTTTTAATTTGCTTTTTTTGTTCCTTGTCCACCATCCTAGAGTACTTTTGGGGAGGATTAGGGTGTCTATTGCCACAAGTCTGTAAGATCAAACCTTAAGTACATGGAGACATGAACAACTACATTTTATAAATGCCCATGATGGAAAAGTCTTACTTGTCTGACAAAGAATACCTTAGCGAGATCTTTTTAATAACAGAATTGTGAGTATCTTCTGTCCCCAGAAGAGTTCCTTTGTATATGACAGCATGGTATAGGATAGAGATTTGCAAGTGCTGGAATTTCCAGTAGATTGTAGAATCCATGAGTTTAGCTATCTTAAATAAAACCCTGAACACCTTAAAATGGGATAGTCTTAGACATTAATGGTGAGAACTGAATTCTGTTGTTCTAGAAATACCTAAAAAACATAGTCAGTTATTCAACACAATTCCTAAAGCTTGCACTTCTGGAATTTGATCACTTACCGACTGGATATGTTCTGCAATTAAACAACCAGCCACCTTTTTGTCATTAGAAATAAAGAGAAGTGTCTTTGTTCTAGAATAGCACTTGAGTGGAGCCTGTTGGAACCCCAGATCATTGTCTACCATCTCTCTAATCTCTTCAACCTATCAAAAAGAAATAAATTAAAATTAACATACAGCAGAAGAACTATATATAGATATACCACCCAAAAAGAGCTGCTACATGTTTATGGAAAGGTAGTGGTTCCAGATGTATTAAACAGATGGGAAGTATTTTTCCAGAAGTTTGAAGGATTACTCTAGATATAATATATGGATTTAAAGAATACTTAATGGCAAATATTTTCTTTTGGTCAACTTCCAGTAGTTTCAAATGATGTTAAATGTTGTCCATTATCATGAATATCTTTAAGGCCAGGAAACAGAATTCCTAGAATCAAGTGCAAACTTTGCTAAATCGAAATAGTGAATTAGACTAGTGTCCAAATCAAGCGCCATTACTACTCTCAAGTCTTAATTTTAGATAAAAAATGTTTTTTAAGAGCCATAAAAATAAGACAGCTCTCCCTCTTACTCTGAATAT